CCGCCCACGTTGAGAACCGCTAATCTAGAATAATCTGTTTGAGAACCATATTCCAGAACCATTTGTTGCAGACCGGTGTGATGCAGAGTCACCTGATGTAAAACCTGACTCTAATACTCTGCAGGTTTGATATTATAGGAGGATCTAGCTGTAAGAAATAATCTTAACTGATCCAGAGACGTCTGATCCAGAACCAACTGCAGTAGAAGTCTGGTAATGGTTTCTTCTAGAAGTTAATTCAGCATTTTTCTGCAGTATAAATGACTAGATCAGCGTTTCTCAACCCTGGTCCTCACCTCCCCCCTGCTCTGCATGTTTTACATGTGCCTCTATTCCAGAACAGCTGATTCAAATGATTGCATGACCATCAACAACTGCAGAAGCCTGTTAATCACCCAGAGATACAATTCAGGTGTGTGGCTGAAGGGAAACACCTAAAACATGCAGGACAGGGGGGCGGTGAGGACCAGGGTTGAGAAACACTGGACTAGATGTTTCTGGGATTGCTTAGATGTTTGAAATCTAAGTATATTCTGGAAACAGTTCTCTGGACATATATCAGCTTCAAGTTCACACCTGAACCTCCAGAAGTCCTCTAGATCTGGGCTCAGAGTTTGATGTTTCCTGGACCAGGTGTTCCCTCTGCTGTTCCCAATCCACACATCATAGCCGGCATCTGCCAGTACGTAACCCAGACTGGAGTTGGGAAGGTTGGTGATCCAATTACTGCCAGCAGCCAGAAGTCCATGCTGAAGGAAGACTGCTGACCTTGGACCTACAGTGTTGAAACCAGGACCAGTTGAAGCCAGGGAAGGAAGAACATCCTATGGCCTGTTAATGTGTAAAGAGATACTTTAAATAGAATTGGAACCTGACCTGCTGTATGTTTGAGTCCATGGGGGATCCTATTGATAGTCAGAATGTAGCCGTCTTCTGTCAAAACCTCATGCTCCTCTGAAGGGTAACCCCACCTTTGAATGATCTCTGTCTGAGTGACAGAGGTACAGAAACTCAACAGCCAGCACAAAAATAACTTAAAACATTCAAATTAAAAGCAAAGGGACAATAACTAGCTGTGTTTCATTTCATTTTGTTTAATTTTA